AGTGCTGGAGAGTTAATGGTAGGGTGAATGGTACTGTAAATACTGTGTTGTGGGGTACCCAGGAGACAGTGGAGTGAGCCTGGGGCTAGTGTGGGACCCTCATTTTTTTTGTGCCTGATGGTGCTCTTACTGCAACTATTGCCTTCTTCTAGATCAGGGATGCTCAGTGTCCAGCTCATAAGCCAAATGTGGGCTGTGGAGTCATTGCGTCTGGCCTATGGGGCAGGAAATTTGGTGGTGGGGAAGCGATGATCATTAATACAGTTACCCTCCTCCTGTCAGTTCCCAACTCCCAAGTGCTGCACTGCTGGTTGCAGCCGAGCCATGCCGCCTCTCTTCCACATGGATTGGGGTCAGCCCATGCCTGCTTTCCCACCCACTTTGGGCTGGGTTGAGGCCAGGCCAATGCCCCTTTTCCCCTGTAGGTCCAAGTTCCCTCTGCATAGCCAGATGGTGCCCACCATGCTGGCCCTGATGCTGGATTGGGACTACTGGTGTGATCCAGTCTGTGGGCAGATGGGGCACCACTTATGTGGCCCCTGTGGAAAATGCTGAGCACCCCCTGTTCTAGGTGGGCTTTACCTGCTTGGATCCAGCACAGGAGATATACAGGTACCATGAGAGCCATTGGCAGCTGGAAGAGGCATTGCAGGTTGTGGGTGACATTTTATCTGGGTTGGAGTGGGCTCTGATGCAGGTTGTAGCATGGGATTTTGTGTGACCTGAATGTTGCCTGTTCGGACCTCCCAGGCTAGCCACAAAGTATGGTTTATTTGCAAAGCAGGAAGGCAATAAGTGTCTTTTTCCTTGCAGGGAAGTTGTTGGAGGGAGATTCTGTGGAGCTGAGCTGCAGTGCTGGCCCTGCCAAGGTGATCCTAGAGCCCAGCCAAGCCGTGGTGTTGGACTGTAACCTGGCCCCCGCTGAGCAGTTTATCAACATCACTTGGAAGAAGAATGGCTTTCCATTAGTGGAGCAGGAGCATCTCCATGTGCTTCCAAATGGCTCACTCTTCATCTCATCCCAGGCTGCTGCTAAGGAGAGTAAATATCCTGAAAGGACTGGTGCTGAGGGTAATTACTCCTGCGTGTCCCAGGGCTCCTTAGGGGCTGTCATTAGTCAAACGGCTGTCGTGCGATTTCCAAGTAAGTGGGGTTTTTTGTTTTGTTTGTGGTATTGATACAGAATATCAATGTGTGAGAAAAGGCATCAGTATCTTCCTGGCTCGGAAGCTTGAAACCAGTCGCCTCTGAAAATGGATTTCCTTTCAGGGCGTGCGTGATTATCTGTGAAATGAGACGCAACATCTCTTTCCCCTGTTAACTGTTCATTTCTGAGGGAACTTGTCCAGAGAAGCAGGAATCACTTGGAGCCCGAGCCCTGCTGCTCACAGAGAGCCAGCACTTCCCTCCGCGACTCGATCTCATCAAGTTGTTTGTCTCAGGCCGTGCTTTCAGCAGGCAGCCAGCCTTCTGTTCCCGTCCTCGCTGGGAAAGGTTTAATAAGAACTGTGTGGGCAGCTCCTTACTGTGTGAGATCTGGCACTGGTCCAGACGAGCTGCACCTGTTCACACCAGCTGAGCCTCCAGGCCTCTGCCTTCTGGCATTTCCTCCATGACACAAAGCTGTCTCGTCCTTTGCTAACTTCATGCCGTTCTTCTTTGGTTGCCTCTCAGTGGTGCATGGCTGTTCCCCAGCGTTTCTGTATTCTATGCCTGTCCACTGGACCACTCTCGTAAGGGAGGATGCTTCAACCCACGTCATTACTGAGAGTAGCAGGAAGGATCTCTCTTATTGCTCAGGGGTGGTGGTGCTTTCTGTGATGTTGGATGCCTGGAATTGTGCTGGCACCGCTCTGTGCCTTATTGTGGTCATTCACCAGGCTGAGATTCCAGCTGCTAAGCTAAGAGGTGAGGGGCTCTGCTCCCAGTACCCTGGAGTTGTCTGGTTTTGCAATGTAGCAGTACGTTTTTTAGGACATGGAAAGACAGAGGCAACTCCTTGACATTCCAGGTTGCTGCTATGTGAAGGGCAATAGGGGAAAAGGAACATTGTAAAATGCACTGGTCCCCAGTAGATGATATTGGTTCTCCATTAAATAAGGGCCTCAGCCAGCTGAGTAGTGTCTTAGGTCTGTCTAATACGGGGATGTGGAACAACAAGGCCCTGGTAATAAGTGATGGGTGCTTTGTTGGCTGCCATCAGGGACTGAACTGATGCTAAAGGCACGTGTTGCTAGAGCTGGAGATGGAAGTTGTCCCACTCAGCTCCTCTGGATTGAGCAGGGAGGGGCATGTGTGTTTGTCTGGGATGAGGGGGTGGCAGGAGTGAGTTATCCACAGTAGCCAGTGATTGCATAAGGCTTTTGGGGGCCACCATGGAGGGGGAGAAGCATCTGAATCTCACAAAAGGCCAGTAAAAATGTTCATGGCACAAGCACCAACCAAAAACTTGCTGAGAACCAAATATTCCCTGCTTCCCACTATTTGTAATGGCACGGGGCCAGATGGCATCCTCAGGTCACATATGGACAAGGGATGGTTGTACAAGCTCTCTCAGTCGCATGGCAGAACAGGTCACATGAGCCCAAGGCAGGTCAGCGTGTGGAGAACTGGAGCCAGCAGTGCAGGAGCGGGTCAGGGCAAGGACCCATTGCCCTTGCGTTCACCTTGCAAGTGAGGGGAGGGAGATGTCATGCAGCTAGAGGATGCACAGAGGAGGAAATCTCATTAAAATAAGGGGTTCCCTTGGGTTGGAGAATGGTCATCAGGAAAACCGGCTTAGGGGACAGGCTCTGCAGCACTGTATGAGATGGATTGAATTGTGCAAAAGGGTTAATAAAGAGAAAAGCAGAACCTGTAGCATTGTTGTTGTTCCTTGTTTGACAGCTCCCGCCTCCACACAGCCTGTGCGATATGGCTCAGTGAGGCTTTGATAAATAATGGAGAGAAACCAACTGGCACTTCTGCAAAATAGGCAGTAAAATCACTGCAGCCATCCTCGCCTGCGTGGTTCACTGCGAGTTGCACAGCTAAAACGTACGCAGCAAACAATGCAGAGTTTGTCAGTGAGAGAGCTGAGCTCTGCTTTAAATTTGTCTGCTGCTGATAGGAGTCCTGCAAAATCAGAGAACCTGGCTTACGTTTAGTGTTTTTTCAGGGTTGACCTGGACTGGATTATTGTTTGAGTTATTCTTCATCCTGAATAGTTTTTTCCCCATAATTTGTGTCAGACATTAACCCAACAGTGAACAAGAGAGCGACTGTGTGTATCCATGTGTGTGCACTCACTATGGACTTGTGATTTTGCAGCTTGGCAGGGCCAGAAGCTCAAATGTGCTCTTCAAATGACTCAACTTCAAATAGATGCCCCTTTTGCGTGGAGGCTTGCCATGCACCGTTTGCCATGCACTGTTGTTTGTATTAGGATCGTGTCCAAAGGCTGCAATTACAGCTGAGATTCTGCTGAGCTAAATACTGTACAAATGCACAGGAAATGCAAACCATGCGCCAGAAATTGCAAGCGAGTTGCAGTAGCTGTGTGCCAGGCCTGACTGGGAAGGAACCAGGAGCCTCTGGCTCTTTAAAGCAGGAGTTTCTGTTGACTAACTGGAATAAAAGCCTCTACTCTCAGCCTAACATTTTCTGTTTATGGCCATGTTGCCACAGGAGGAGGAAGGAGCTTCGTAGTAAGAATGGGTTATGTATGCAAGATTTTGGGGCCCCTGTTTATGACGCAGTGTATGGATTTGCTGAGTACAGTGGGTTCCTGCAGAGAGTTGAGGTGTGGAGTGCCTTGCAGCTTTGGGCCTAGGTTACTTATTGAATGACTCATAAAGCAGCCCACATAAGTCTATGGACACAAAGGTTGGACTTGAATATGTAAGGAGGCTAGTGTGGGAAGCAGGCACTTCCCTTTGATGAGGGAGGCTGTTGTTGGTGGATCTCCATCTCCTTGAGTCAGTTTGGACCCAAAGCAGCAGAAGGGAGGTGGGGGTGGGAGGAAGGAGCCCTGCTTGTTACAGGCTGATCAGTGAGTCTTGGTTGTGGCAGGTATATTCCCAAATGCTAGAAAACAAAAAGGTGAGCCTAATTTACTCCCCACTTTTCTATTCAGTAAACACACTTTGGAAGGAAGAAGGATGCCTTGGCTTTCAGAGCTGCTCAGATCCTCCCAAGCTGTTTCATTTGTATTTTTTAAGGGCTAAAAACATTTTCCTTCTTATCAGGTTAGTAAAATAATTCAGCAAGATCTAGATGATGGTCCTGCATGAAAATAGCAACATCCCTTTAATTATAGCCTCAGGAGGAGGTGCCAAGATGCTGTGATTAGAAGCAGATACTCTTACATGAGTTAGAGCAGGGTGGCACCCAATTTGGCATTGCTCAGTAACTTGTTCCTGGTAGTAAGTTACAGTAAGTCGATCACTGTCCTTTGAAACAGAGGAATGAAGATTTATAGTAGCAAATGACTTGTATGTTTTGACAGCAGCCACGTGCTCTCTCTCTTCTTCCTTTCACCCAATGTACTGGCTTCCTCATCTCTGTGTAGACGTAAATGCGGGGTCAGTCTAAGCAGAACTGGTCCAGTTGACTATATGACTTTGATGGCCCATGCAGCAATGCACCTGCTTAACAAAACACAGGGGTGGCTGGAAAGACTGAAAAGCCATGTTTTCCGAGAGTGCG